GGGGACATTTGGGGGATTTGGGGGTTTTGGGGTCGTTTTTGGGGTGATTTCCGTGGGGGTTTTTGGGGTCCTGGGGCTGCTTTTGGGGTCTTTGAAGCCCATTTTTGGGGGGATTTTTGGGTGGTTTTGGGGTGTTTGGGGCTGATTTTTGGGGATTTCCGGGGCTGGTTTTGAGGTGGTTTTGGGCTGTTTTGGGGTGATTTTGGGATGGATTTTAGAGGATTTCTGGAGTTGTTTTTGAGGTGGTTTAGGTGTTTTTGGGCTGTTTTCAGGCTGGTTTTGGGGTGATTTTTGGGGTGATTTTTTGGGGATTTCTGGGGTTGTTTCTGAGGTGTTTTTGGGGTGTTTTTGGACTGGTTTTGGGCTGAGTTTTGGGGTGATTTTTTGGGATTTCTGGTGGTGTTTTTGAGGTTGTTTCCAGATGGTTTTGGGCTGTTTTTGGGTTGTTTTGGGGTTGATTTTTGGGGTGATTTTTGGGGATTTCCGGGGCTGGTTTTGGGCTGGTTTTGGGCAGTTTTTAGGCTGTTTTTGGGCTGATTTTTGGGGTGATTTTTTTGGGATTTCTGGGGTTGTTTTTGAGGTGGTTTTGGGGTGTTTTGTGGTTGATTTTTGGGGTGATTTTTGGGGATTTCCGGGGGTGATTTTGAGCTGTTTTTGGGCTGATTTTTTGGGATATCCGGGGGTGTTTTTGAGGTGGTTTTCGTGTGGTTTTGGGCTATTTTTGGGTTCATTTTTGGGGTGATGTTTGGGGATTTCCGGGGTTGTTTTTGAAATGGTTTTGGGGCATTTTTGGGGTGTTTTTGGGCTGTTTTGGGTTGATTTTTGGGGTGATTTTTGAGGATTTCCGGGGCTGGTTTTGGGCTGGTTTTGGACCATTTTCGGGCTGTTTTGGGTTGATTTTTGGGGTGATTTTTGAGGATTTCTGGGGCTGTTTTTGGGCTGGTTTTGGGCCGTTTTTGGGCTGTTTTGGGGTTGATTTTTGGGGTGCCCCCCCAGATCGTGCTGGTCGATGACCGGGAGGCGCCGGTGCCCGAGGGGGGGTCCCACGAGGGGCTCCCCACCCCCGTCAACCTGGAGCTGGAGTGGGTGCTGGGCAAGATGCCCCAAAAGGTGAGAGGGGACCCCAAAATCTGACCCGAAATTTGGGGGGGAAGCCCGAAATGGGACCCCAAAAATGGCCCCAAAATTTGGGTGGGAAACCCTAAAATGGGACCCCAAAAATGGCCCCGAAATTTGGGGGGGATGCCCCAAAATGGGACCCCAAAAGATGAGCGGGGACCACAAAATCCCGCCCGAAATTTGGGGGGAACGCCCAAAATGGGACCCCAAAAATGGCCCCAAAATTTGGGGGGGAAGCCCCAAAATGGGACCCCAAAAATGACCCCAGAATCTGGGGGGAAAGATCCCAAAAAGGGACCCCAAAAGGTGAGAGGGGACCCCAAAATCCCGCCCGAAATTTGGGGGGGAAGCCCGAAATGGGACCCCAAAAATGGCCCCAAAATTTGGGGGGGAAGCCCGAAATGGGACCCCAAAAATGGTCCTGAAATTTGGGGGGAAAGCCCGAAATGGGACCCCAAAAATGGCCCCGAAATTTGGGGGAAAAAACCCCGAAATGAGACTGCAAAATGTGAGTGGGGATCCCAAAATCTGACCCAAAATTTGGGGGGGAAGCCCGAAATGGGACCCCAAAAATGGCCCCGAAATTTGGGGGGGAAGCCTGAAATGGGACCCCATAAATGGCCCCGAAATTTGGGGGGAAAGCCCGAAATGGGACCCCAAAAATGGCCCTGAAATTTGGGGGGGAAGCCCCAAAATGGGACCCCAAAAACAACCCCGAAATTTGGGGGGAAAGCCTGAAATGGGACCCCAAAAGATGAGCGGGGACCACAAAATCCCGCCCGAAATTTGGGGGGAAAGCCCAAAATGGGACCCCAAAAATGGCCCCAAAATTTGGGGGGGAAACCCTAAAATGGGACCCCAAAAATGGCCCCGAAATTTGGGGGGAAAGATCCCAAAAAGGGACCCCAAAAATGGCCCCGAAATTTGGGGGAAAAGATCCCAAAAAGGGACCCCAAAATTGGGGGGGACACCCAAAAAAGGGACCTCAAGAAGGGACCCCAAAAGGTGAGCGGGGACCCCAAAATCCCGCCCGAAATTTGGGGGGAAAGCCCAAAATGAGACCCCAAAAATGGCCCCGAAATCTGGGGGAAAAGACCCCAAAAAAGGATCCCAAAATTGGGGGGGACCCCCAAAAAAGGGACCCCAAAAAAGGGACCCCAAAAGGTGAGAGGGGACCCCAAAATCCGACCCAAAATTTGGTGGCAATGACCCAAAAATGGCCCCAAAATTTGGAGGGGACACCCCAAAACTGGGAATCCCCAAATTGGAACTTTTGCCCCAAATTTGATCTTTTCCCCCCCAATTTTTGAGGTCCCCCCCCAATTTTTGGGGTTCCCTGACCCCGAAAATTCCAATCCCCCAAATTTTTCCCGCCAAATTTTTCCCGCCAAATTTTTCCCCCCAAATTTGCGGTTTTTACCCCGATTTTTGGGGTTCCCCCAATAATTTTGGGTCCCGGTGACAATTTTGGGGTCTCAGTGACAATTTTGGGGTCTCAGTGACACTTTTGGGGTCCCCCTGTGACACATTTCGGGTTCCTGGTGACAATTTTGGGGTCCTGGTGACATTTTGGGGTCCCAGTGACATTTGGGGTTTCCAGTGACAATTTTGGGGTTCTGGTGACATTTGGGGGTCCTGGTGACACTTTTGGGGTCCCAGTGACAATTTCGGGGTCTCAGTGCCAATTTTGGGGTCCCCCTGTGACACATTTTGGGTTCCTGGTGACAATTTCGGGGTCCTGGTGACATTTTGGGGTCCCGGTGACAATTTTGGAATCCTGGTGACACTTTTGGGGTCCTTGTGCCAATTTTGGGGTTCCAGTGACAATTTCGGGGTCTCAGTGACAATTTTGGGGTCCCCCTGTGACACATTTTGGGTTCCTGGTGACAATTTCGGGGTCCTGGTGACATTTTGGGGTCCCGGTGACAATTTCGGAATCCTGGTGACACTTTTGGGGTCCTTGTGCCAATTTTGGGGTTCCTGTGACACATTTTGGGGTCTCAGTTACAATTTTGGGGTCCCCCTATGACACATTTTGGGGTCCCAGTGACAATTTCGGAATCCTGGTGACACTTTTGGGGTCCTTGTGCCAATTTTGGGGTTCCTGTGACACATTTTGGGGTCTCAGTGACAATTTCGGGGTCTCAGTGACAATTTTGGGGTCCCCCTGTGACACATTTCGGGTTCCTGGTGACACATTTCGGGTTCCTGTGACATTTTGGGGTCCCAGTGACATTTGGGGGTCCCGGTGACAATTTCGGGT